CACTCAATAACCTCCAACACTGTTTAGCTAGCAAAGCTTGATTAAATTAGTGTAGATCTCTGAAACCCATCCCACCTTTTTTTGGGATACACATTTTTCATCAAGCCTTCCAGTGTAGTTTCTTCTTTTCTTGAGTGTCTCCCCACCAGAATCTAGCAACTGCGTTACAAATTTCCTTGCAAATATAAATGACACAGTCAGGGGCGGGCCCATGTTGGCCCAGCAGGTAGCCCATGACACCGGGTAAAAACCTATCTTACCTTATACATATAGAGCCCACAAAGGCCTGGACACCCCTAAATTTCCTAATGGGACACCCCGTACAGACAAAAGGGCCATAACTAGCCAACTAGGCCCAACTGTCCCTGGTGAAGGCCCATGCCCAGGCAGTACATCTATACCTACGTCAGTACGTGGCTTCGCGTGTCGCCTTGCCTGTTCTTCTACTCGCCGCTCGGCTGCTGCGCGTTTCGCGGCCTCTCGACTCGTCGTCCTCGACCCCTCGCCTGTTCATCTACTTCGCCAGATGCCCCCAATTCGCTCAATCGGTGAAGGTATGTTGCATTAGACCCCAATTCGCAGCGTGTGTCTGCCTCTATTTCAATTCCCAAATTATGCTCTAATTCTTACTTTATTTGTCTAACCCTAGGATATTAGGGCTGCTGGATAAGACTACACATTTTGACTGTATTAGCTATTAGACTATCTGGCTATTGTATTGATCAGTGGCGAACAATACTGCAATATTCTAGGAGATTAGGACGGCTGGAAGCTCCTGCAAGGCAGTAACATGTCATGTAAGTTTTATTTTACAACTGGGCAATTGCAATTCATGTTATGTATGTGTACACATGATTCTTAATTTTTTTCCTTTTGTGAAAAATCAAGTACCTAAATAATTACAAATTGCAGGAGAAGCTCAGTTTATGGAAAGGTTTCCAAAAAGGAGGAGAACCATAGTGCAAGATGAAGGCCCATCACATGAACATAATCAGAATGATGCCTCGATCCCGCGACTCTTGGTCGAACAAAATGATGTCTCATCACTACATGAATAGGTTGATGTCCCGGCCCCGCCTTGGTGACGATGCCTTGAAGTACATCCTTATTTGTTATGTGGAGAAAAGCAAAATAAGGTAGGATACAAATGATGCTGTAATTGTTCGCTTTGAGGCCATGAAAGAATGCAGGAAACCATTTTAGAAAGGTAATGGTTTTAACTTACTTATTACACAACTGTAATTAATACATGCTAAGTGAATTTTTTATTGGCAATCATGATCTAGTGTTGTTTTTCTCGTCAGCGGTTATAATTTATTCATAATTTGAAAACTTTGGTTCTCATTTGCTGTTCAGTTTCTAGCAATCAACTAATAATTCAAGCGAACTCTTTATTTTGGACCTTTTGCAATCATATTCATCGTCATATGGTATTCTAGGTATATTGTATTGTTATAAGTGTGTTGCTTTTATCTACATTATGACTTGATATACACATATATGTAATAGACATAGAACCCCGGGTCATTTTTGTCCTGGGTCCGCCCCTGGACACAGTTGATTCATTTCCTCTCCCTGTACTTTTACTTTAACAGAACACGCGCTGTCCCGCAATAACCACCGTGAGAGAGGAAGACAGAGAGAGAAACCAATGGCAGGATTCACATACAGCCTTTTTTTTACATGACATGCCCTGAGACTTCCATGATTAGAAAACAATGGCACGACCACGCAAAAATAAATAGCAATGGCACGATTCACGTACAGCCTTCTTTTTAGACAACGTTTCACGTACAGCCAAACCCCCAAGAAAAAAAATGTGGGCCCGGGACAGTGTAGTGTGGGCTGGGACTGAATCACGCTCAAGTTCAGGGACAACCCCACTGCGTATACGTTCCTCGAAAAGAAGAAAAAAAAAGCACCCCACTGCGTATACGTCGATCGTTCCTGAATCCTACTCGTCGATCGTAGACCGTCTCCTACTCCCGTTTCACTTTACTCTCCACATATGCAAGTATGCAACCCAAACGCCCTCCTCATCAAACAACCAAATAACCACAGGAGCCAGCTTCACTTTTCACCGTCGAACTAGATTCTCCTGTAACACTGAAAACCCAAGGCAGCGATCGATCAGCCGTCTGGGAACACGCCGTAGTGCCGTGTTTTCGTAGCATGGAGAGTACTTCTTCCAAGGAACCACGTCAGCCCGAGCTCGAGGAGTCCAGCAGTGCCACCTTGGACGGGATGCTAAAACCGGTGGAGGCGCCGTCGGACGGTGAAGGATTCGCCATATGTTTGGGTCAAGACGGAGCAACGACTGTATGGAAGGAGACGGTGTGTGGGCACATCTTCCATGGACGATGTGTGCAGAGGTGGCTCCAGGCGAAGGGAAGTTGCCCCATATGTCGGCGACAGCTTCAACAACCACGTGCTCCTGCAAAACAAGATGTTCGATATCGTAGCCCCTTCATCTTTATGGCGATGGAAATGGAAGACAACTCTCCTCTTTCAAATAGTACTAACTATTTTAGACAATACAGGGAGGAGACATTTGTTGGGTGATGAGATTTTGCCCCGCCTCCCCCTCCATTTTTCATTGACCAGAGTGCGATTTGTGTACTTACTATGGATGTACATGCGAGAACATCAGTAAGAGTTTTATATATTTGTTCATATGAATATTCTCTCTATCAAAGAAATATAAACATATATAATTTGCGTATTCATTCATTAAAGCCGAGCAAGTGTCTTTTTTCTTTAAAAAATGCACAGGACATTGTACGAGGAACTCTGTAATTATATTTGTCAAAACAAACGGTTGCAATTCAAACTATGACACATGATGTCGCGTGCACTGGAATGGTTTGTCTTTTCTAGTTTTCTCTCAAAACAGGCTTTCGCCCCTTTTTTTGAATCAAAGGGCTTTTCCTCGCCCCAATTTTTTACTGAAAAACCTAAGGCCACGACATCCAACCCACAAAAACAGTTAAACAGCTCTCGACCACAAGCGGATAGTAGTTGCAGCAGAATTATTACAGATAAGCACTTCTAATAGCGTTCCAACCCGATCGATACAAGTGAACAACATCAATGCCAAGCTATCCTAAGGAGCTCCCCATGTCAGACGATCAAGGCAGAAAACATTCCAGGAACCACATAGCTTGAGTACCGACGCACAACACCTTTCAGGAACAAACCAGAGAAACTACTAAAGCCAGAATGCACTTCAAGCTTCACCACTTTCGCCCTTGGAAGACAATGACATTTCGCAAAAGTCATAAAGCCCCACAAGGTATCAGTAGAGAATATATTAATTACTTCATCTTTTTTATGTTGCTTCCAAAAGGTAGCAAGGTCAGAAAATGAAGAAGGTACAAGAAAATCAACTATCTCAGCAATTGCGCCCTAGATATAAATAAAGCACAAATCAAAATACATGGCCGAGCAATACAAGGCAGATTTGCAGCCCTCTTACAAAGCAAATCTTGGCATAACCGGACACCACAACCACACGCGACTATGATGTCAAGTACTAACACAAGAAGGTCTCAATACAATGCTACGACACACACTAGGATACCTAAACTCCACGACAATGCCATCTGAAGGGGAAACGGCGCAAAGCGTCACTGATGTCGAGTACGAGACAGATGAGGGTCTTCGCCTGGAACCCTCGTCCGAACCACACAATGATGTCCTCAAGAGGAGAGTGACACCCATGGGCACCGCCGCCGTACACGCCAAAGTGTGGAGTTTTCATTTAGCGGCTCACACGTGCCACCACGAGGCACCTAGGACACCCAAGTTGAGCATAGACCTCATATCATAATCATTAGTATTAGCAACCGTCATTAGTAGTTGCATGTGTCCATTAACTAAACATGCATCTTTCCCCACAGACGCATCGTGTTTACGTACGATCGCCTCCTCTCCCCTTTTCCCCACAGACGGCCCTTGATGACGTCATTTCATCTTGTATCTATAAGCGCCTTCCTAAGCCAGGCATGGAGATTGCACTTTATGACAGGGTTGTCTTATCGGGCCTGGGTGCAGGATATCCATGGCGCTCCTGAAACAGTAACTCCACACGATTTCACCATCCTCCACTTAATTTTTCTACCGCGCGCAGGTTTTCACCTCCACACCGGGATGGATAGTCGGTTACGGCCATGGGGTCCACCCCGCCAGCCTGGCACCTGGCAGCCGGCTACTTCGCTTAACGACAAGAACACCGGGACGGGACGACACGGGAGACGCCGCCGGAAAAGTTTTCGACACAACAACCACCGCGCGCGCAGAGAGAGAGAGAGAGAGAGAGAGAGAGAGAGAGAGATGGCTTCTGCGCTGCCGTGGAAGCCTCTCTTCTGGGAGCGCGTCGAGAATTCTCGTGCCCTCGCCGCCGCCGCCCGCGGCGACCTCGCCGCCGCCGCCGCCGCCGCCGCCACCATCCACCTCGCACTCGCATCGCCTCTGCGCGCCGGTGACCTCGATCGCGCCGTCTCGCTGATTGGAGAGTCAGAGGACAAGCTTGCCGCGGCGGGCAAGCAGGTTGCCTTCCTGTTTTCCGGCCTTGGCACCGTCGAGCTCCTCGCGCGCCGACGGATCCGCGGCGACGACTCTGTGGAGCAGCAGGCCCGACCGAGGGCGCGCGAGGCCAGGGCACGGGCCGGCGCCGCCTACGACGACGTGGCTCTCTCTCGCGGCCACCTGGGAGCCGCGGCACGTCTGGTTGCCTGCGGCGACCTCCCCGACATCTACTTCCGCGCCGAGTTTCTCGCCGCCACAGAGCCGCGGCGGCGGCCTCGGAGCACCTCCACGGGGTGGACGACACCCTGCGCATCCGCCGCGACCTCGCGCCTCCACTTCTTCCCCTGCACCGGAGCGTCCACCCCCACACGCGCTCGGCGGCGCACCCCAGCGCCAAGCGGGAGGAAGAACACGACAAGGCGTGGAAGGCCCTGGCATGCTCCGCTCCAGCGTCCAGCCGCGCTGCTACACGGATGCGCCGACCTCGGTAAGTGCGTCAACGCCGTGATGTCCTCTGCCGTTTGGGAACTCCCGTAGCGCCGTGTTTTTGTAGCGTGGAGATTGCTTCTGCCATGGAACCACGTCACCCCGAGCTCGAGGAGTCCAGCACTGCCACCGTGGACGAGGTGCTAAAGCCGGTGGAGGCGCCATCGGACGGTGAAGAATGCCCCATATGCTTGGATCAAGAGAGGGTAACGACCGCGTGGAAGGAGACAGTGTGTGGGCACATCTTTCATGAGCAATGCGTGGAGAGGTGGCTCGAGACGAAGGGGAGTTGTCCCATGTGTCGGCGTCAGCTTCAAGAACCATGTGATGCTGCAAAATATGGTATTCGTCGTAGTCCCCTCATCATGATGGCGGTGGAAGTAATGGACAACTCCGACCTTCCAGATCGAAGTAACTACTTTAGGCAATATAGGCAGGAGACGTTTGTAGGGTGACAGTGATGAGACAATGTCGACATATGCAACGATTTGTGTACTTTATTGTAGCTGTACGTGTGAGAACATCACTAGGACATTCATATATTTGATCATATGAATATTCTCTCTATCAAACAAATAAACATTGTGCGGCTCAGGTTGGTAATGATTGCTCAAGACCCTCTCATGGTTACTGTTGTGTTGCGGCAAGCTTAATGCTCTTGGTGTTGTCTTGACTCATCTTTGCTCAAGGATGGCGCGAGATGCCTCTCAAGGTGCTATTCGTTCCGTTTTTCTGTGGCGGAGCCCCAGTCAAGATTCGTGTCTGGATGACACTCGTTGATTGTGGATGCTCCTGAGTTGTGCCATGGGGCCGGTATGCCCGCCGATGCGTTCGGCTGTTTGCAAAGTCCTGGTATTGTGATCTCTCGACGACACCCCACATCTACTTGTGTCTCTCATGGTGATGGTCTTATGTCTGCCAGCTAGGCCGTGCCTTGTACGATTTTCGGCGCGGTTTCCCTTATAAACAGGGTTAATTTGTTTAAGGTTTTTGATCCGGTTTTTCTTATAAATTGGATCACCACTCTGGCATTTTTGCCACTT